CACATAATTGAAGAATTTAGAGAATTTTCAAGAGACAAGAAAAGAAATTCACACAATTGAACAATTAGAGTAATTTCAAGATGAGTTAAAACCTAGAAATTGGAGGGGAGGCTGAGCGTCGGCTTGCTAGACGGCGGAGAAGAGAGCAGGTGACGGCGGTCGGCGACGCAGGGGTGACGGCTTCTCACTTCAGCGGCTTCTCACATGCGGCTGGGGTCACTCCTCGGCTGCTTTGAGGGAGAAACAGAAGAAGAGAGGCTTTTTTTTCCTTAATGGGATAAGGGGTCACTCCAAACATGCGGCTGGGGTCACTCCACACTATTTTTATTTTTGAATTAGAGGGGGAAATATTACCCTTATTCTAGTTCCATCTTTTTTTATTGTAAATTTACGGATTTAGCGAGGGATAAGTCCGACTCTTTTGTGTTTGATACTAGTGGGGGGACTATTCCGCCTCTAATTCGAATATTTTTTTTAAAAAAAATTTAAATTTTTATTTCTCCCGCTATTTTTTATTTAACTTTAATCTCCCGATAATAAAATTGAAATTTATTTCAATTAGCTACGAAACTAGAGGCGGAAATGTTACCCACTAATAAAAATTTAAAACAGAGGGTGAATATTCCCCCTCTGCTCTGCAGCTAATTAGAGGCGGAAATATCCTCCTCTATTTTTATGAGGCTTTTACACGAGATTCTTGTAGTGATCTTACACATGTTCTTGCACAAGGAGCTAGTTCCCCTTGAACACTAGCTAGGGCTTGGTTCAGTACCCCGGCCCCGCGTATTGAACTTCCTCATGTTAGTATAAATACTCGTAGTTAACACCTTCATTTTCTCTCTAAAAAAAATAGAGATAAAAGTGGATTATTTTATTTATGTCAAATGTGTGGCATGATATACAAATGAAACCCAACCTCTAGCTAATTAAATGGATTCCACATTATTTATATATGCATACTCCGTGATAGGAGGGAAATGGAGTTATTATTGGACAAGCATATATATATGTGGAGAATTGAAGATTCATCACTTCTTGGCTTGTGATTTGATCATCGATCAGCGGCGGCATAGAGTGCCTTGACAGCCTCAACATCATCATAACTCCCCAGAAATATTGGAGACCTCTCGTGTATCGTTTTCGGTACCAACTCAAGCGCCTGCACGTAGTTCACGTTGAATGAATGAATATATGAACGAATGAGTTTATTGCATAAAACACTTACACTATGTTTGGTTCAAGTAATTTGAAAAGGAAAAGAAAATGAACTAGAAAACAGTTTTTCATGTTTGGTTAGAGAGAAAAGTGGAAGGAAAAGAAAAAGAGAAGATAAATGTACTAACTGAAATTTCTCCCATTCTGGTGAGAAAAATGAGAGAAAATCATTTTCTTTTTTTTTTCCCCTTCCAAAATCCTTGAAGCAAACATAGTGTTAGGCCGACGACCAATTATAAGTATAAATATATACGTACCCTTTGTTTGCCGGTAAAAGCTTGGCCACCAGCCTGCTCCATTAAGAAAGACATGGGAAAGACTTCGTATAGAAGCCGAAGCTTCCCATTGGGGCTTTTCTTGTCATCAGCTGGGTACATGAATATCCCCCCGTACACTAATGTCCGATGCACATCCGCTACCATGCTTTCATTTCATTTCATTTCCACGTGTCGTATCAACACACATACATACAAACAAACAAATTCACAGGCCAATTACTAATAAGATAAGGTTAACAATCTATCAATCAATACCTTCCGATGTATCGTAGAGACTTTGGTGGCGAACCATCTTTTGGGAACTTACACTCTTCAACAAATCTGGCATTCAAACAATGGTTACACTTAATTATTAGCTTGTTCAAAGCTAATGGGTGAAAGAATACGTACAAGTAATCAAATGAAAAACCAAAGAGCCATGCATTATATATTGGACGTACTTCGCAGTGGGGCCATCCCAGTTTTTAGCATTTCCTTCGTTCACGGAGTAGATCTTTCCCTTCTTCGGGATCTGCAGTACGTACGTTCAAAAGCACAAGTAGTTATGAGCCTATATATCAAAACAATCAAAGAGCAATATATAAGTATATATATATATATATATATATATATATATATATATATATATATATATATATATATATATACGTGTAATGGCAATTGCCTTGATATCGGGATGAGTTAGTATGAACTCTCCCAGTGATGGGTCAAGGGTAAAACCATTAACTCCAGATCCTGTGCTCAACACAAACTGCATTTTGATTCAATCATCAATGGATGCAATGTCAGAAATAAAAGATGATTTATTAATATGTATGTAATAAGATCAGAGTATGAAATGGAGTATTGCTCACAGTGCAAGAACTCCCATACATGCAGTAGCCGGCAGCTAACATGTTCTTCCCAGGTTGCAACACATCATTCAGCTCTGGCTCATGACCGTCTCTGATCATATAAATCCCAAATATCTATATATAGATATAAAAGCAGGCAAAATAGAAGAAATAAACAAATAAAAATGGAGAGTTCTAAACATTACTAGATAGAAACATATAAAGAAATCATCCATATATACTACATACATACAGTTCCAATGGAAACACCACAATCAATGTTGGAGGATCCATCCAATGGGTCAAAAACAACACAATACCTGCATTTGCATTTGCACTAGTAGTAAAAGGTAGGTAGCCATATATATATCTCATATGATGTTTCAAAACAACGACTTAATTAAAAGGTAGGGGGGCTATATATATATATATATATATATATATATATATATATATATATATATATATATATATATATATATATATATATATATATATATATATATATATATATATATATATATATATATATATATATATATATATATATATATATATATGATACACACTTTCCCTGCAATGGCGGCTTCACAAAGGTAGCTTCTTCGTCTTCCTCGGAGACGAGAATGCACTGACAAACACAGTGATTAAATGTTTCAAAAAAAAGAAAAAAACAACCCAAATGCGTTTCGGTCATCAGGAAAATGATGAACATATAAAAACAAGAAAACATGTATATACGTACAGTCCGACCACTGCTGACCAAGGCTTTGATGAAGACTTCATTGGAGAGGACGTCGAGTTTCTTTTGCTCTTCACCCTGCACATTAGTCTCCCCTGCAAGGCCTATGAGCTTCGCCAAACCAGCCTGCAGAAATTATACATATATATTATCTATCAAACAGCAAATATATAGAAACAGAGAGCAAAAAAAGGAAAGTGTGGGTATATATATACATATATAAGTCAATGACCTTGTTGACGGCGGAGCAGACGAATTTGCAGCCGAGGACGATGTGGCTGAGGAGGATGGTGAAGTCGCCGCGAGACTCTGGGTGTTTGGACTGCTGGTTGAGGACGAACCGGGTCATCGTCATCAAGTCCGTCCGGTGAGCTTCCGCCGCGTGGTCCATTATTCTATTACTACTCTCTGTTCCCGGCCTCGTCGTCTAGCTCAAACCCGGTACGGCGTCGTACCCAGGGAAGGGAAGGGGTATATATGGATAGATAAAGATAAAGAAAGAATGGTGGGCGTGGGTGCGAGCAGTTGGGGATGATGATGATGATGATGATGATCCAGATCATCATCTCTGTGAAAGGAAGGCGGGCGGACACGTGGAGTGGCATGCAATTGATGTGGCAGTGATGACATCACTTTCTGGATGATGTGGCTATGCTTGGGCCGAAACTATTTGTTCTTAATAGTCTTATTGGGCCTTCAGTTTTCTTCTTTGCCAAGCCCAATAATATATGTTAAGATGGATAGGTAAAACACGTGTAACACCGCCACCTCTAAGGCCATCTCCAATGGAATGCCCAAAGGAGATGCTCAAAGGAGAGAGAAGGGGATGTTTATGGATGCTACTATTGGAGATAGATGCTTAGGGTAGATGTTCAAAGAAAAAAAAAGTGAGAGATGCTCAAGAGAGCACCGGGTGCTAGCATTCAAAATTATGTGTGCATTCTTTCTTTTTTTTTTGTAAAATAAGTCTTTTATTAATAATACATTCTCTTTTCAATATTTTTTCTTTTTATTTCTTTAACGTGTAGTGATGTACAATTCTATACCATTATTGTATCTCTTTTTTTTGGAAAAGAATCTTTATAATTTTTTTAAACAAACCATTTTCACAAATTTTTTTTCTTTTCAATTTTTTACTTGTAGTGATACCATGAAAAATCTGTTTGAAGTTGTGTTTCATTTGATTGAGTTTGATCTGCACAAAAAATTGAATAAATAAATAAATACTCTAAAAAAAAATATGACACCGTATTTTGTTTTTAGTAATACCAACATGTCTTTAATTTTTTTAATCAAAATATTTAGCAAAAAAAAGTCATTAATAATATTTTTAATTATTTATATTAATTTTTCCAAAAAAATATGTTTAATTAAAAATTTATTACTCCATATTTAACACTCCTATATATAATATAAAAATTTAAAATTAAAAAAATTGTAAAAATTATTTCTATATGTGAGTAGGATTCGCCTAAGGCATCTCAACGAGGTGTCACCATTAAAACATTTAGATGTTCAAGGAGATGCCAAAATAATATTTAATAAAGTAGAGCCCAGAGTTGAGCATCTAATGAGAGGTGTTACCACTGTGGATGCTCTAATTTGATACCAACAAAATTTGGCAAGACTTTACGCAGTCTAAAGAGATAATTAATTAAATTTGGTGAGAGAGAAATGACGCGATCAGCAATCTAATACTCCGTATGTATTAAATTGCAATTCATCTGTCTATTTTTTAAGTTGTCCCCTTACTATTAAAATTATCAAACTTTAATTACTTTTTTTCATTTATTTTTGTTACTTATTCGATAAAATAGTTTAGGCCCTGTTTGGTACACGGAGTTTAAATTATGGAATTAGAATTTAGGAGTTCAATTCCAATTCTCATGTTTGATAGCACAAAAATTATGTGGATTTGGAATTGCTAGTGCAAAAAATGAATTAAAATTGGTGAATTCAATTTTATGGAATTGAATCCCATGAAATTTTAATTCACTTTCAATTCAAATTCTATCAATTTCTTGTACCAAACGGATCCTTAGTGATGTCGTCTTTCGTCTTGTGCAGATAACATATACCAAGTACTGTAGTTTTTATATCTGTGTGTGCGTATCTATACACACATATATATATAATTTAAATTTCCCAATTACAGAAATTTGATACTACAATAAAATAGTGTGAACAACAAAAAACACTTAAAAAGGGACAGTGGAGTAACGAATATGGTTAATTTTCTCTAAATTTGTTGGACGTTTTGTGAATAAGTTCGCACACTTATTAGTTTGGGCTTCTCTGAATAGCGTTTCTCATCAGTTAGGCCTTTCTTTGTGGTCCATCTTTTCTGGGCCCATTAGTAGCGACTAATGGAATGCCCTTTCATTTTCACGGGCCTTGCTTTTACTCCACCCACATGTAAAGTTTAATTTTAATATTTCAATCTGAAATAAAATAAAATAAAACTAGAAAAGATTTCTGAGTCAGAAAGAGAGATATTAGGTCCTAGAAGAGGGACAAAAATACTGATATTGAAATTATATTAATGCTACTACACTTTAAAAGATGTCACTCTACTATTTGAGTGAATTTCGACAATAATTATGTTGGGCTTTGTGGAGGCTTGTTTGTCGGCCCGGCCCAGTTGTGCGTAGCCCTAGCTATTTCCCTGTATATAGAGGGCTGTGTTTGTAATCTTGTGACCACAAGTGAAATAAGAAAATCCTCCTGTTGCAGTCGTGGATTTAGGGAAACCGAATCACGTTAAATTCTTGTGTGTCGTTTGTGTTCCGTTCTCTCTCGTTTCTCGCAGATTATTTGTGTGTGTTGTGTTTTAATTCCCAACAAGTGGTATCAGAGACTAATTGAGACACCACAAGTGAAATAAGCAAATCCTCCTGTTGCAGCCGTGGATTAGGGAAACCGAACTACGTTAAATTCTTGTGTGTAGTCCGTGTTCCGTTTCTCTAGTTTCTCGCGTATTATTTGTGTGTGTTGTGTGTTTATTTCCCAACAAGTGTTGTGTGTTTATTTCCATAATTTAAATCGCGCAAATTGTGAGATATTGTTAGGTTCTTGTGTGAAGAACCGTGTGGATCTAGATCGGGGGTGTGTGGCCGTTCAATTGAGGAGCGCCGCTGTGTAGGCTATTTGCGTAGCGGCAGAAGCTTCTATCCAGAGGAGGGACGCGCATCAACGAAGAACCACGCTGAGGAGCCGCTGCCGCCGTCAGCCGCGCAGGAGCAGCTGCAGAGCCGCCGCAGGTTGAGAAGCCGCCGCTGACCCAGTCGCCGTCGAGGTCCCAGATCTCCGCCGCCATTTGCGTACAGACCGCCGCACGCAGGAGCAGCGGCAGAAGGAGCCGCCGCCGCGTGGAAGAGCCGCCGCCATCGATAGCAGATCCTGAACCGCCGCCGTCCTCAGTCGCGCTGCTGGTTCGTGAAGGTCGCCGCCGCCGTCCTGTTTTGCCTTCGCCGAAAAAAAACAAAAGCAAAGGGGCTGTTTTTCTTGCTTTGCAGGTTCGGAGAAAAATAGGGAAAGGGATTTTGCTGGACCGAAGAAGAGAAAAAAAAAGTTGGGCCGTGTGAGTTTTTTGTTTTGGGCTGGCTATTTGTTTTGGACTGGTCTTAGTGGTGGACTTGACTTTCTGACGGAAAAAAANCCGTCCTCAGTCGCGCTGCTGGTTCGTGAAGGTCGCCGCCGCCGTCCTGTTTTGCCTTCGCCGAAAAAAAACAAAAGCAAAGGGGCTGTTTTTCTTGCTTTGCAGGTTCGGAGAAAAATAGGGAAAGGGATTTTGCTGGACCGAAGAAGAGAAAAAAAAAGTTGGGCCGTGTGAGTTTTTTGTTTTGGGCTGGCTATTTGTTTTGGACTGGTCTTAGTGGTGGACTTGACTTTCTGACGGAAAAAAATACCAAGATCTGAAATATTTGTACCGGGTATCTCGTCTAGTCGTTTGATATGGCAGAAGATGGGAAGTTCCGAATTGAGAAGTTCGATGGTACAGATTTCAGTTGGTGGAAGATGCAAATTGAAGATTTGCTGGTTCAGAAAGATTTGGACGTGGTATTGGGTGACAAGCCAGAAAAGATGTCGGATGCAGATTGGGCAGGTTTGGATCGGAAAGCAATGTCCGTGATCCGTCTCTCGTTGACCAAGAATGTTGCGTTCAACATTCTGAAGGAGAAGACAGCGAAAGGAATTATGGAAGCGCTGACTAACATGTACGAGAAGCCATTTGCAGCTAACAAAGTTTTTATGATCAGAGAGCTGGTGAACACAAGGATGAAAAAAGGCACTTCAGTTACCGAGCATATCAACAAGTTGAATTCGATCTTAGCCAGACTTTTGTCAGTGGGCATTAAGTTCGATGATGAAGTTCAAGCCTTACTATTGCTATCGTCTTTACCTGATAGTTGGTCCGGAACGGTTACAACGGTTACCGGTTGAGTGGGACCTGATGGATTCACCTTTGATCAGATTCGAGATCTCGTTCTTGGCGAGGATGTCAGAAAAAAGAGTTCGGGGGAGTCATCTGGTGAATTGTTACATGTTGGCAGAGGTAGAAGAAATAGCAGAGGTAGTGGGAGCGGGAACAGACGAAGGAGTCAATCGAAGACTCGGGATAGCTCAGGTGTAACGTGCTGGAAGTGCAAGGAGGTGGGGCATTTTAGGATTCAATGTCCGAATGATAATAAAGTGAACATTGCTAAAGGCTCTGCGAGTGACGAGGAGGTCACTTTGACTTGCTGTGAGGAAAGCAATGTGGATTCTTAGGTCATAGATTCTGGTGCTTCATTTCATGCCACCCACAGCGGTGAAGCATCGCAGAATCTGGTTAATGGAGACTTTGGAAAGGTACGACTTGCGGACGATAGAGCTCTTGATGTGACGGGCATGGGTGACATAGTGCTGAAAACCCCAGTCGGTTTCTGGACTTTGAAGGATGTTAGAGTTGTTCCAGCCTTGAAGAAAAGTTTGATTTCTGTCAGGCAGTTGGACGAACAGGGACATGAGGTGAAGTTCAGAGATGGGCAGTGGAAGGTCGTGAAGGGAAATCTTGTCATGGCCCGTGGAAAGAAGAGAGGTTCGTTGTATATGGTCGAGTTACCATCTGAGGGAGTGACCGCCCCAGTTCAGAAGCGAAACAAAGTCCGGTTCACAGAGTCTCGTGGGCAGAAAAAGGTTGTCTATGCAAGAGAGAAACCTAGAGCCACAGGTCAGACTCAGGATGAACGAGCGTGGAAAGGTTCAAGGGGACTAGTCAGAGGTATTTGTGGCAGTGGGAGCTCAAGAGGCGCTTCAGCCAAATTGCCTAGAAGACAGTGGGTCAGGAGAACAAGTATTCCAGTTGTTGGAACATCTCCAGAAAATTTCTTGCTGAGTACGGAGAATGTTTGTTCTCAGAATGTTCCAAGATCCGGCAATGTGCATCTGCAGTGGGAGCCGGTAGGGACC